ATACATACATATATATTTATATATACTTATATGTGTGCATACAAGTGTGTATGTATTTAGTTATATTTATGTATTTTTATATATCTATATATTGATATTATATATGTGTATAAAAAAAAATATATAAATATATATATNNTATATATGTATGTGCATGTATATATATGTTTGTACTTTGTGTGTATATAATATGTATGTATGTATGTATGTACGTACGTACGTATGTATGTATTTATGTATGTATATATGTATGTATGTATGTATGTATGTATGTGTGTATTCCAGTACACACATCCGTACGTTTTTGTATCCTTTGCTCATCTAGAAAAGATCCCTTTACATGCTCTTGTAGGCATTCTCTTCTCAGGGATCGGCGCGCACAGGCGCAGCAAATTAACCATACCCCCGATTTAGGTGAGGTTCGGCCAGTCTGAGCATGAAGGCACCAAACACAGTGAGAACCATTTCTTAAACGAAAATGCGCTGCAATCATTTTAATACTTGTCTTTTCCTACTGGAGCTTCTGCTCGCGTGTAAGTCAAGTAGCAGATCGGAATCAAGCATTAGTTTTGCCTGCCGCGAAGGCCACGCTCACTGAGGGTTTTGCGTTGCACTGCCAGGCCGAAATGGAGCCGAATGTCAGCATTGCCATTTATGTGACAAAAGCGAAATCAAGGCAGATCGCTGGTCATTGAGCAATTGCTTCTCGATGGTGCAGATCGCAGTCCTGCATAGCAGGCAAGAAGGAAGGCTAAATCAGAGCAGTGGAAACAACAGAAGCAGGAGGCACATCCATTCCAAGAGCTTGTCTCTGGTCTCTGCAGGGCATGTAGGCATGATAGAATATGCCATTGCAAGATGTTGGCAAGCTACCTGATCAGTGGTTCTTTGTTTCAGGCGCGGCTGCCTCCTACAGAAGTCGAGTCTGTGCCTGCGGAAGAGCTGCAAGGGTAGCTGCTTCCGCGAGCCGGAACTAAAGAGCCTTAGCTGAAAGAAAAACTACGCGGAGCACACGAGATTATATGTAGTTGTTGTGTCGTGTGGTGCCTTGAGCCTTCCGCGAGGAATTAAGACATCAGCAAACTGCAACCACTTGCACCTGCACCTGTTCAGGCCTGCGGGCCTTAATTTGATTCTGCAGGAAACCTGTTAAGCGTGCGGCGATCATGCGCCAGGCAGCAGCTGGTATTGCAGCAAGCTACCGTAGCTCCTCCGCGGCTTCGAGGTGGTATCGGCTGCCTCTCACACAGGGCATTGTGGGACTTGTGTAGCGCCACCAGGAGGGGTGTGCACATGGCTACCGACAGCTTGGTCGACCAAAGTATCTGCAGGAATTGTGCTTGTGGTGACATACTGCGTGCAAAGCCAAGCACGAAGAATACTAGGTGCTTGCTTGCCCGTTACTAGCTAATGCTTACATCCTCAGCAGAATCTGTTGTGCACAAGGCCTTGTACAGCACAAAGGGCCAATATTTCGCTGACCACAGTCCTCGTCTAAGCTTCCACTCGTCTTGATGCTAGTAGTGCGTGTATGAGAGAAAGAGCCGAGGTACCCTGGTTAGATGGCCGGCGTGAGCAGATTATTGATTTTCAGTCAACGATGTACTTTCGCATCGCCTTATGCGTTTAGAAGCCTGCAACTTTTGGCTGTGGTGGAGTTGGAAAGGGGTGCGTGTGCGCCAACATGCTTCCGAACTATCTTTTTCGCACTTGTCAGTCTGCTGTGTTGAGCAGAACGAAGTTCCGGCATCCTGGAAGATGGTTTTGGCTTATGCACAGTGATCGACAAGGCAATCCACATGCTATTTGTGCACAAGCGGGCATGTTATCGATTGTGATTGGCGGCATTGTTGATAGTTCTAGATGCACACCGAATACCGTAGCAACTTTATCGAGCCCCGGCCTCAAGAATTTCCCTGCAGTAGCAAGCGAGTGGAACTGCAGCGTGATTTCCCCCGCGACATTGAGGTATGACTGGTCACGACTTACTAACGCTCGCCTGTCGTAGGGCCCCAAGCAAACTTGGACGAGGGCACAGCCAGAATCTCAAAGAGACGCCGCTTGGAGGACTCCTTCAAAGGACCCGTCCGGGAGCACGCACAGTGCCTCTGAGAGGCGGCGCAGGCAACAGGCAAGGCACACGTCATGCGGTGCATGCTGGCCACAGTTGACTCTCATCTTGCTCAGGCACCTCGAAGCACGGACAACACTGCGAACCACCTGCACTCCCGTGACTTGCTCAGCATAGAGCGCTTGTCGGTGCAATGTGTCAGAACATGTCTCTTTATTTCCGATTTTGTGCCCGGATTCGGTCGCCCGCGCGCAGGTTTGAAGGCAGATGGGATTGCCACGATCTGCCCTCCATGGTCGCTTGATTCCAACAAGGTCAACTGCTAAACTGCTTCTGCGCCTCCTACTGCTACCTAGTACTGTTTTCCGTGATGCCGTTGTTGTTTGAGACTCACTGTCTGTTTCTCTGAGCTTTGAAGCCTTGCTCTTGAGAACATCATGTACATACCGCTGCTGTTTAGGGCCCTTTGGCTGACTGATGAGCTTCGCAGTGCATTGGGAAAAAAGTGGTAGCAGAGCTGGTATCTCCCGGTGGGACCAGCCAAGCGGGCCTTAGTACCATAGGATCGTACGGCTGGGCGAGCCCGATATCGACCCATTGCATGCCCCCCCGTTGATCAGCCTTGACAGTGAGTGAGCGTAGCTGGCCTACGTTACTCCCGTGGTGCTGCTTCGGGTAATCCCCTGGAGACCCGTAGTGGGTCGTACATATGCGACGGAAATCCCAGTACATTCCATGACTGGGAATTTCGGACCTCGATGAAGACGCGATCGACATCGGCAAAGACAAGCGACAAGAGTGTCGACCTAGACGACACCGAGAGTGAGGTCGAGGCTGCCAGCCCAACCCGAACTGCAGCCACTACACCCGTACCCGGAGAGGACGGGCCGGCTGAGGCACATGCAGAAGGCAGCAGATCTCCACGAGACCACGGTCCGATCCCGAAGCCTGAAGACTCGGGCTCTGTCAAGAGCGTCTCCTCGACGCTACCCGACGAGAGCACCGCCTACGCTGTGAAAGCGAGTTCGCTCCCTGGATAACAGCATCGAGCTCTCTGAGCCGATGCCTTTGGAGCTTCTTGTTGAGTTGTCGGGGCTATCCAGACAGGAAGCCCAGTGACAGCCGCAACTTCGAGTCCGTGTGTGCTACCCTTGTGGAGCACTTCAGTGGTGTGCACCTGCGCAAGGGACGCACCGGAAAGGGGCCGAGGCAGGGTTACCCAAAACAAGGGGAAAAGTTTCGTCACGAAGGCCTACATCGCTGAGGATGATCCTGAGGAGGAAGGCCACGACGACGACGACAACCAGGACGCCTCGTGCCCTGCTCTCGGGGATGAGGATGGCTACGGATACGACGCGTATTCCTACCCTGCCGCACAGAGGAAGGAGGAAGAAGACGAAAGCTACGAAGATTTGGAGCTCGAGGAGGATGAAGCTCTTGCGCTCAATGCCTTAGAAGAACTCGACCCAGAGCCCTCTGAGAGTGGCCACGCCATACAGTTGCAATGGGCTGCCAATGCGGCATTTGGTAAGGCGAAAGGCAAGAGGGGCAAGAAGCCCAAAGGAAAAGCGAAAGGCAAGGTAGTGAGATCACACCTTACCCTAGAGGAGCGAAGTGACAAGATGCGTTCCCTTAAGACTAAATCTATGTGCCTTAGGTGTGGTGCCATCGGGCACTGGGCTGGAGACCCAGCATGTAAGTTTCCGAGCCAGAATCAAGGAAAGGCGCAAGGCAAGGCCCGAGCCCACATCGCAATCGCCCAGCCGCGGCACGATGACGATGGAGGCTTGTATGTCCCATTGAGCAACGACGTTGAACCAGGTTCCAAGGCTAGGCCCGCGGCCCCATCTAGCAGCATGCAGATGGAAGGTGGCGATAGGAGGTTTAGCACAGCACAAGGGCAATACTTACGACGAGGTTTCCCGTAAGATAGAGTACGTGGCCTGGGCTATGGCGCAGCCACGCCCCACAGCACGGACCCGTGATTTCCTAACCTGGATAAATCCTGGATAAAAGTAATAATTTTTTCACCTTTCCATCACTCATCAAGGTCAGCTCACAACGCCTGTTATCCTGCATCCCGAAGGCGGGACGCTGGCCGACTCCATAGCGCGTTGGCACACACAATATGCCATACATGCCCTGCGTCAGCACTCCGGACTGTCGTTTGTTAGGATTGTGCGTTATAGCTACAGAGAGATTGCTGCCAAGAACTGCTGTCGCATCTGCATTGAACCCGGCGAGGCGGTTGCGGTACCTTCCGTTGCTTACGCTGACAGCACCGTAGTCTGTAATGAGGCCTTTAGGGTTGTTGCTGTTATGTTTCACGTGGTGGACATTATCAATCTGCCCTTGCTGTGCCCGGCAGAACCCCTACGGAACCCTGGAAGTTTTGGGTCTGTGATGATGGTAAGTCCCCTAAGCCTGCCACCAAGAAAGAGATAGGACTTATCGAGTGCAACTCATACCTTATTGGCCTCGCTCGCACCAATTAAAAGCAGTTCCCCTCCTTGGGGGGCCTGGGGTTTGTACAGGCGTCTTGACCTTAAGACTTTGCCTGCATTAGGTCCCCGCTCCGCATGAAAAGGTGACAGTTCCCTGCAGCCACGGAGCTTCCACAGCGGATAACAGTCCGTCGCACGGCAAGAGACCGGGAGATGTTCTCTGAGTGCCAGCAATACCCTCTTTTGCCATCTCTTTGTGATTTGCAAGTCCTTGGTTTTATGTGTTGTACGTCTCAGCATAGCAGCTGCATCTGGGCTCCACACGCACGAGCTAGGGTGCTGGTGAGCGCTCTTCCACTGCTGCCCTGCGGTGGTGCTGTCTCGCTTTTTGCACTGCTGGCTTATGCGTTTTGCCGTTCTGCCACTGTCTGCACTGAACTCGGCTGTTCGCAGCTGTTGCTCTCCTAGGAGCGTTCCCAGCTATTCTTTTGGAAGCATGGAGGGGCCTAGGGTGTGGGGAAATTCCTTTTCCACCGGACGTCTATGCTGTTGCTCTTGAGGAGTTTCTTTTGCTGGATGCCTTGCGTCGGCTGTTGGGCGATGATGCTCGATGCCGAATCCCGCCAGCTATAGGACTGGCTCCGGTAAATGACATAGTGCAATGCGCCTGCTCCCTCCTGGATGCTCCGGGGCCCGAGGCCTTCCTGCGATACTATTCCCAGTTGGCCTCCTCACGCAGAAGGGCTCTGGATACTCACATGCCGGAGCCGGCTCAGGCTCCTGTTCTCACAGACGTGTTAACCACGGCGGAGGCTCTGGCTAGATACTATCTGATGGAGGGCCAGGCACCCCATCTAGACGGCAGCTCGACAAGCTGTTGCTGAGTTGGATTGGTGCTTTGATAAGCACGCTACGGCGCCCAAACAGGGTGGCAATGTTCTGCTGGGCGCCTGCTCCTCCGGCCCGTTTGCAGGTCTTTGCAAGATGACCAAGAGCCATGCTTCTGTCTGCAGACTGCTGAATAGGCTAGTGCAGCATCTCGGCGGGGCTCTGGAAAGACCACAGTATTTGAGTACGCTTGCCATCAACATGGATCTGAGGCTCCCCCTCATAAAGATAAGGGCAGTTTTCCCACTGGTAATCTCATCTTCAGCCTCACGCATCACTCAGAAGGTGGCGTGTGGATTGAGGATGGCTGTGGACAAACCTACATGAGCCCGTCCGGTACTCCCCGCTGTGGCACAGTTTACAAGCTTGGCCTGCAAAGCCTCAGCTTTCCTGCACATAGGATGACACATGCCACGTGCGAGTGGCATCTCACCAATCGAAGAATTCTGTCAGCGTATTGTGCAGGGCAAACGCAGCTGCTTAAGACGGAGTACAGGAATCTCCTGTTTGATTTGGGTTTTGTCCTCCCGCCCTTGCCGCCCAACCTTGCTTAGCGCTTTTAGAGCTTGTTTTTCAGGGGTTCTTCGGAATTGTCTGCATGCTTTTTCTGAGACTGTTGGGGCTTAGCAGTGCTACCTCTGCAACGCGTGACAGCACTTGCCATCCGGCTGCCTGACCAAAAGAAGCGCAGCGCAGCGGTGCCATCACAATCCCATGGCGGTGTCTGTATTACCTGTACCGTCAACTGCATGGCAGGTCATGAACCATGGCGGCCTATCAGCCACACGTTGCCGCCGCGGAGGTTGTGACCGGATGCTACACCTGCTGCCATTGGGTGCGGAGCCTTGTCATGGCCACTGCTGTTTGGCGTGTAGACATGCGGGTCACACAAGGCACTGTGACGCAGCTCATCGCAACAGATCGCGGGGTATCATCAGTACATGCAGGACGCCAGCTTGCACGCTGCGGGTTCAGGTGGGGCACACTTCATGCTGCTCCTCGTGCAGGAAGAGTATTGGGGCTTTTCATTCGGCTATGTGTGCAGGTCGTCAGATGATTATTGCAGGATCTATGCCGCAAGCGGGTGCAGCATTGCCCTCCGCTCTGGTTTTGGGTGCACCAAGTTCCGACTTTGCCGTTGATGGCCCAGATGAGGCAATGGCAGGGGAGTCTCCTGCTACGCAGGGCCCAGCAGGGGACTTGCCCGGCCATGCATCCTCCTCGACTGCAGGAGCAGGGCGGGTAGGCTCAGGCAATCTGGCCGATCCAGCCAGCTCTTCTGTGCAAGGCAACCTTGTTGTTTTCCTCAGCGACTCGGATGAGATTATGTTGCCAGCAGTTGACAATGCAGGGCCTGTCGCTGCTGTGCAGCCCGCCGATACCACAGCTGCAGACGTTGATCTTTCGGAGATGGATTGATCCTTTTCCATTTGGGATGCTGATCGGCTCAGTTTTGTATGGACGTACAACATATGTGATGTTCTTCGAGAAGGAGCGTAGTTCTTAGTCCATAAGGATCCTCAACAGCAGGATGCAGCCACTGAGCTGCCGGGCTATGTCTGCCTTTCGTCAATCATCGGAGCGGATCGGTGAGACGTGTGCGATGCAATACTACTGCTACTACTACTACTACTACTACTCTGCTGCTGCTGCTGCTACTACTACTACTACTACTACTCCTCTGCTGCTGCTACTATTGCTGCCACTGGGCAAAAGGTCGACCCCTTACTGCTCCTTTGTGCGGGAGCAGCCGACAACGCGGCATCCCCAGTCACGGTGCCGGTTCGCGGTGGAGTCTCAAGCATTGCGTAGCATTGTCGGACCGTTAGAAAGGCTGAAACCACAAATGACGCGTCTGTCCGACGGCCTCGTGTGCGCTCAGGAGCTTCTCTCGGCTTGTGACGTGTTGTCTCGTGCGTCTTTGCGAGCTTAGTGGTGTATTCGGTGTTGTCGGCGCTCGGAGTGCGCATCCAGGAACACTTGGAAACTCGCAGATATCAGCCTGGAGCTTACCAGCCGAATGCAAGAGCGTACCAGCGGAATGCAAGAGCGCCTGAATGTACGTGTTGCGACTGGGTCCGGTGCAGCGGAGGCCGACTTATGCCGATCATGGTCTAGACTTCCGAATGAAGCGGGATGCGCACATGGGCGATCAAGGCCACAGCCGTATCAGTTTGTCAGAAAGACACTCGTCGCTTGCTTGGTAGTCTCGAGTTGCAGTGGGCTGGCAGGTGTGCCGAAAGCCAGGTCGATACCTACGCCGCTCGGGCCTCGGCAGCAATGCGCAGGGTGTAGTGTAGAGCTTAAGCATGAGGACATGACGCACTGCGACCGTCTTCACAGAATTCGACCACGCTGTGAGTTGGCTCAAGAATGTCCAAACAAACCGCATCACCAGTACGTCCAGTGAGCTCCAAGCACGACATGGTCCAGCAGCTGAGTTCACAAAGAGCCCTGGCAACAAAGCATGTGCAAACAAGTCACCACACCAACGTAATTCGCCGTGGGCTTTCCAGCAGAGACCGAAGCTGCCAGACCAGCTTGGCATCCTGACCGCATGGGTAAAGCATGCTCCGGTCTCCTGAGACGGCTAATGCATGTCCGTCAAGCGTTGTGGCTTGCTGAGGCGTCTCCGTCAGCACACATTGTCCATCCGCTTCCCAGAACGAATGAGGAGCCTGTTGGTTCCTCGCGTTAGCCTAACCATGTTGACGCATCGTGCCTCTGTTGAGGCATGTGAACACCCAGTTTTGTGCCAGTGCACTTGTCGCAAGACGCTTAAAGGAGCATTAGTTTCTTTGGGCCCAGGACAACACAAGCTGAAGGATACGGTGATATTCCAGTAAAGAACACGTGGCCTGGTTGCACACCCGTCTCGCACAGTGTTGTAGCTCACCAAGGTGTCAGTGACTAGCTTGACTTTGAAGGTTTGTGCACTTCGTCGAGGGCGGGCCTTTCTGCGACATTGTGGAGCGGTGGTCTTCCTGCTGGCGTCTCAAAAGCGGCTGTCGAGCCGGATCGACCGGAGCAGCGAGAGTCGAAACCGCGTCACCGCCAGAGTTCGCAAGGTCCTGCCAACCTGGAGTCCAACAAGATCGAAACGACCTCTGTAGCGACAGTGTTGCCCAGTGATGAACCGCGAGGTGTCATAGCAGCTTGATAGCCGCGGTTTGCTCTATGATCCTACTTCGACACAGCGACGTGGGAAGTGGTCCCGTGCCATCGAAGACACCTCTTCATAGCCTCTGGTACCACTACCGGAAAATCAGGGACATTACTGGTTTTCGCAACTAAACCAATTGCCGTGTGCAGGCACATCGATTTCTTGTGGCACTTGCTCTTCGTGATGGTTCCACACTCACAAAGACACTGTCTGTCTGGATGTGGGTATGTATATGTATGTGCATGTAGATGTTTGTTCATTTGTTTGTTCGCTAGTTTGTATACATTCATACAAACCAAACTTTGAGAGCTGTCATGCTAAATTTTGTGGGAGATGTGAAAGCTCTTCTTCTTGATCGCCCTTGATGCCTTCGAGGGTGTTGCTCGCAAGTGCCAGGCAACAGGAGCGACGATGACGAGAAGGTTCTGGGTCGTGAGTGTGCAGGGGCTGGACGGGCATCTGGTTCTCTCCCCGATCGCAGGATCAGCGACGAAGATCACTGCAAGAGTGTCAGCTTCGATGGGCAGTCGACAAAGCCAAGTGGCCTGCTCAAGCAAGCATTCTTCCTCTCACGGCACGTCTGGTTACCCGTTATGGGCTTATGGGCTTCTGACAGGACACAGCCCCAGCTCCGCACGGACATCACCGTGGTGGAAGGAGAGGTGCCGGTGGAGTCCTTGATTGGGGAGGCTCGAAGTCTGCATTTGCCCACCGCTTCGGAGCTGAGGCTACCAGGGCTCATGAGCTCCGGCTGAGCAAGACGATCAACCGTCTCTTGACCAGAAAATTCGGCAGAAGCGATGTGTCAAAACCCCATTGAGAGACTCAACCCACCGTGAGGCGAAATAACTCATGCAGCAAGCAAAGGCCTGCAGCCAACAAATAAAGTCAGTTCAGTACCGTGACATGCCATTTTCCTTTTGAAGCCTTCTTGCCAACGCCAGTTTCCCTGCGAGGTAAAGCTAGAGCGGTTCTGGATGTGACCTGGAGTCGATTGACGTCGATGAACGGCCACTTGGCGAGAGAACATCATGAGAGAAGTGCCACGGTGTTGTGCATGTTGACGGGCACGTTTCGGAGGCAGATGTAATTCCAGTGCATGATTACAGGTGATCTAACTCCTGCAAACGGCAGACTTGCCATGTGATGAAGAAGTGAAATAACGGGTGATCCGATCATGCCGATGTCCAGTGTGAGCACTTGTGAGCGACAAGGCGTGAACCTCGCCACGGCTTTACACCGTATCGCTCGTCATAGCACTGAGGAGCGGGTTTAGACGAACGCTGTTCGGAGGCTCATCGAAGCAAGATGTGTGTGTGTGTGTGTGCATGTGTGGAAGCCTTGATGCTAAGCTAAAGGTTTTTTGGAGTCAAGCACAGGGGGACTGTCGCGCAAGCATGGTTGACGGTCCAACGAAGTGGGCCATGCTTGTGACTGATATGCGTCTAGGACGCTCGATCCACGTACCTGCCTTTTTCAAACTGTGCGGCAACCAGGCTAAGCTGATACCCTGGAAGCTTTTATCATCTGGTCGAGGTTCAGATCATACACGCAGGCTTCCACAGGTATGGACATAGTAGCCAAGAGCTACGGTTCCTCTTGCAGCCGCCGTCTCCACCTGTGCGTTCTTGGTACCCGGGACAGTTTCGTAAAGATTCGAAAGCAACTCTGCTACAGGACCCATCGCAGATCAGTGATGTCCATCTGCATCCAGGTGACCCTGCCTTCGCTTGCAAACAGCATTGCCAACCCCAGCGGCTAAAAAATGCTTTTGGGAGGCTTCGGTCCGATGATGAAGGCTATCGAAAGGCAGCGGGTTCAACCTGGATAAGCAAGTTGCACTTTAGGCAGATAAGCTGGCTGGGAAGCGTTGGTGTTAGAAGAAGAGCTGTCACTGCAGTCAATGCAGGAAAGCCACTTTTGCCTTGGAGTCTGGCCAAGACAGCAACTCTGCTGAAGCACAGTCTGCTGGCTTTCCGGCCCAGTGTGCCAGCATCATCGCCTGGTCTTGTGCCACGTTCCTTGGACTAATCAGCTGTTTCGAGTGTCCTGGCCGAGAGAGGTTGCGTCCCGCTTCGTGGTAAAGGGGCTAAAGTTGCATTGCACAGCTTTCGGAAAGTCGCAGTGAACTCAGGTTGTCGGCCCTTGACTCAGTTGGAAGTTGTCACGGTCACATTGACATGAGTTCAGAAGCCTAGACCCCCAATAAGCTGACGACGTCTCAGCAGATGCCAGCTCACCGGCCAGGCGAAGCAGTTTGAGAGTTGCACACGAGCCAAGGTGCGCGATGAAGGCATGTTCGGAATTCTGGCGGAGCTCGCTGGTCCTCGTTTGCGCGAACTGAAACCCTACGAGGTGTAGGGTTCTGGCAAGCCTTGATTCGCTGGAAGCCTTGACGGGTGGCAAATTGAAAAGTTTCAAAGCTCACGCCCGTCTGGAGAATACCAATACCAAAGTTTTACAAAATACCCATGTAGTGCAGCATCTGCGTCTGCTCGTGTCAAGTCTTCTTGGGGTATCGGCAGCGAGGAAGTTCTGCAGGTTACAAATCTCATCTGGGCGTTTGCGAAGCTTACCGTTCCTTGTGTGCCGCTTTACCAGTTCCTGGCCGGCAAGAGGCTCTGTGTTTTGTCGCAACTGTCACAACTTGCTCTGCATCCTCTTCCGGTGCTGAGGAACGCAGCGAAGGTGCTTCAGACGCGACGGCACGGAGAATACAAGGCACCGCTCCCTGAGTCCGCGACTCTTTGCCTATGCGTATTGTCGTTGCAGATGGCAACCCGAGAGGCGCAGTGCCTCTCTGCAGCGGTCTGGTCGTTTGCGCAGTCAGCAGCACTTTCCAGGACACCTTGCGTGTGATTTCAGACGCTTGAGCAATGGAGAAGCGATGAAAGTGCAGCTGAGCATGGACATGCATGGACTTTGTGCGTCCGCGACTCCCAACCACTGACCCTCGGCTCTGGCAGGCTTCAGCTGCTAAACCAGTCATGAAAACCAGCGTCGTTTCTGGGTTGCTGCCACGGTCGCTGTTTAAAGTTTATGGGCGTGGATTCCGGTCTCAGTCTCAGAAGGTGAAGGGGACTGCTTCGTCGCAAAATGCTCGAGAACTATACTCGCGGGTGGAAATCTGCAAGGCACCAAGGCCTGTGCCTGTGCAGAGCTTTGTGCGATGCCAAGCGAGGCCAGAGCGCAGCGTAGGCGCGAGGCCAAAATGCCAGGAGACCTGTTGGGGGCGGCTTTTGCGCTCCAGACGATATGAGAAGGCGTGCACAGAGGGGGAGTCTCCATAGACAGGGCAGGGCTGAAAGTATTCATTTGTTCACGTCCGCAGCCTGCCGGCCTCGTGGTACCCATTGGGGGCCCAGTCGCGAGGAAGCCACCGAGTGGTTGCTTCCCAGGTGTGGGTTTGTCGGGACACCGTCTCTGCCGAGTGTTGTGGCCGGCCCGAGCAACATTCCAACAGGCTCGCGTGATCCGTCGGCGAGCTCGTCAGGGCCGGTGTCACTCTTGTCGGTGCTAGGTTAGGCTGTCAGGCAGGGCTCCAAGCTCACTATGTCGTGCAGTGTGGGATCGACCGCACTTCCGCTCTGGTGTTGGAGGTCTTCTGAGCCCTTTGGGCGGACATTACCGGTGTCAAATGTCGGGAAGGTGATCGGGTTTTGCGAACCACAACGTCTTTGTCACTGGGCCGGCCACCCATTCGGCGAGTGCTATCACGGGCTTTGAGGTTTGGATGATTCTCATTAGCAGCTGTCCGATTTTTCACAAACCAACCTTAAATTGAGAAAAGGATTTGCGGCAGCCTTCAGGAGAATGCAGACAGCGTGCCCCACAAAGGGTTCGCAAGGCAAAGCTGCTGCTCCACGGGTATGTTAGATTCAGAGACCCAGCCCCAAGCCCGTCGCAAACATTTTGTGGAAAAACACTGTTCTGTGCCGGGATGTGCCCCGTCTGTCAACGAACGCCTGGTAGGTTGCAGTGACTCAGAAACTCCAGGCAGGCCGCAGGAACCCTGACAGGACGGCGCAGATCCAACTCTTCAAAAGCATCGGGGACGAGATGGCCCCGCAGGTGGCTTCCTTGAAGCCTCAGGAGATGGCCAATACGGCGCCTCGGAGACACTTGTGAGAGCTTTGAGAATATACGTTTGCCTGACATACAGGAGCACGCAGCACGCGTCACGCTCCTGCAGAAACGAGGTCTGGTCCTTCGGGCGGGTGCGGGTCAAGCACCAGCGACTTTTCGAGGCAAAATGTGCCCCCGTCAAGAAGCCAATATGCGTGTCTCTGCAGGATCGAAAAATTTCAAGCTCTGATTTGACAGGAGATTTGTGGTACTTTTGCCAACAACCCGGGAGCCTCTCGCTTTAGCAACTCGGCAGCAGTGCGTGACACTGAGCGTCAAATGAATCAGACTGGTACGCGACTTTACAAGTGGAAGCAGTCGAACAGTAGGGAAAGGAAGAGGGCTGGAGAGAAGCGATGCAGCTCAGGCATCCCGCAGCTGACCAGCATCTTAATGGGATGTGCTCAGGCAACCTGGGGTGCGATTGCCAGCGCTAGCTTAGAGACAGTCTGGTCCCGCAGCAGACGGGCAGGTCAGATTCCAACAGCCGGAAGTCATCGGAAGAATCAGCGCGGTCATGCTGCGCAACAGCCATGCTTTGACTCCGGAGCAAACGCCACTCAGATGCACGTCACATGTCTTCTTTTTGCAAATCTTAGGAGTCTTGATCCAGGCTGAGGACTTCGCAGCCTGCAGTTGCAAAACCAATCGAAACTGTCGCAAGTGCATGGCAGCCTGGCAGCCACACGCTTGCGAGTGAAGCCAACAGGTCCTGTGTCTTGTGGTCCCTGGCGGAGCTGGACGCACATGACCGGGTCCTTCTAGTACAGAAACTCCTGGAATCTGAGCTGGCAAGCGAGGGCACAAGGAAGAATCAAGCCAACCTTTGATTTTCTCGTCACTCGTCTAAGGACATGGCAGCAGCAGATCTTACTTCCTTCAAGCACGAGGAGCGTGTTCCTAGTCATCGAAAATGTATTGCACTCCTCCCGCTTCGAAGCTGCGCAGGAGCTACATAATGTGCTGACAGCTGCCAGAACTCTTTGCCCACAGCACCGAGTGCTCTTTGATGCCTACCAAGTCGCCCAGCTACTAACTAGAGTGCTTTCTTTGTGTGGGCTGCTGCAGTCATTTTGCGGCCTGTGTGAGGCGATATTTGGAGAGGATAGAAGTCGAGGCATGGCTGCCAAGTGGTCCCCAAACATCGGCATGGAAGATATGTCCAGGCCTTCCTGTTGCACCTTTGCCCCCAGACACTTTCCGGTTGCGTAGATTCCATGCATGATGTGCGAAGCTGAGGAGATGGGTCGCATTTGCTCGGAATATTAGAGGAATCGGCGGAAGAATGAGGTAAGTGCGAGAGGCTGCCAAAGCCGTGCAAGTCGCATGGTTTCGCTCTTCGTTGTAGTTCAAGCAATTCGTGCCGTCTCGCGGCACACGTCCTGGCACTTTTTCTCGCTGTGCAGGCATGACATCGCCGCAAGGGAAGTTGGTAAGCCTATGTAGGCATTCTGTGGCCCTTTGCTGCGTGAACCATGGAAGGAAATTAGGATAGCAGCCTTTGGTTTGAACCGTTTCAGCCTCGGTCGCCATCGTGCACGAAGACCGAGTTATGGAATCAGCAACTGAAACGACCTCTGTCCTGCATGACTTGTGTCAGAGACGTGGTCCGGCCACCCGAATGATCTCCTTTTGTTGGCGTGGGCACGTGGAGCCGCAGAAGTGCTGTCCCGATGCATGTTCCTGGCCAAGAAGTCTTGCCAATCAGGTGGAACTGTGCTCTTGCTGCTGAAGCTTGCCCAACTGCCCGCTTATGCGTCACCCAACTTGAAAAGTTGGCATGGGCCGAGCTGCTTGCAAACTTTGCCGTTGCCATGGATTCTTGCCATGGCAGCCCAGAGTGGCAAATACCAGCAGCCTCCGCCCGAATGTAGTATCCTCCCGCAGCTATGGCTATGGCTGTAGAACGGGACCAATCCCCGGGGGCATTTCCGATGAGCTTCTGTGTTCTTTTGTCTAAAATTGGATTTGTCTACATCTGGTTCAACAGCAGCGGTGCGGAATCTTGAGCGCGATCGGGTGGCCGGTGACGTCGCCGAGCTCACCCCAAAGAGTCCGAGCGCTAACTTTGCGCAGCTGCAAGACATGATTGGCTTTTTGTTCACCATAGGCATAATGAGAACTGTTCACATGCGAAGCCTCGGGGTGTCCCCCCAATGAGTCTGCTCCATCTAGATGACTGTTTTGTACAAATCACTGGCCCAACTTGGCCTCATGCTGCTGCCGTTAGAGCAAGCAGGCAAGCAGGCCGCGGGCACAGCACAGGCACGTGCATCGCTAGAGCGTTACTCGAAGCGATGAAAAGGAGAACTACGCCAGCTCAGCTGCACGGCTTCCAATTGCGCTTGTTGCCTGCATCGTGCTGAGGTCGTCCGTTTCTGTGGCGAAGCCTGGGCAGGCTGGCTGTGAGAAAATGTGAAGTTCACAGCCCGGAAGACTCAAGACTTTCATCGAACAGCTTCGGGATGATATACTTATCGTGCGGCAAATTGGGCGCCGCCTGAGCAACATGCTGAGAGGCGAAGTGACTAAGCGTTGCATTTCTGAATTCCAAACTGGCTGCACGCTCCCGCCCACGAGCTCTGAAGGCCGATCTCAAGGTTGCCTACAAGCCCCTTCAGCTGAGTGCTCAGAGAAACGGACGCGAGCCGGGTCCGAGCACATGGGCCTGCTTGGTGCAGAAAAAAGGGAAGTAAACTAAGTAAATGCTGCGGAGGCATCCTGTCTGGTGGGGGCAGGCCGCTTTGCCAGAGGAGCTTGATCGGCCAACCTACGAGGCCAAGCAGCAGTCAGAATTCTGCTCTTTTGCCCCAATGGCACAGACAGGACCTTGGAAACTACTACCCGCCTCAGCGGACCACCATTGCTGGCAAGGAGCAGATTCGCGCAGTAATGTGGATCTGTCGGGGGGTGGGGAGTGCTGGCTTTGGCGATCGGCCACGTAGCTGTTGGTCCATAGCATGAAAGAAGCCCCTCTCCATTGCATTTGCAGGTCAGGACAGCAGGGTTTAGTTCAACTGCTTAAGAGGGTTGATGAGGCCAACTAACTTACAGAGAATGTGAGAACATAGCAAGGTTTCTTCGCTTGTGCTGATGAACATCTTCCAATGCTGTGATGCCCGGGATGCGGAGCAAGCTGTATGATGTCGGTCTCCTTCTTTCGCTGACTGCTGCCGTGTGGGCGACAGACTGCGTCACCGAGACCGGGGTATGTTACCAAGGTTCGAACCTCGCCATCACTCTTGATCAAAACTCTATTGCTGAAGGATGCCAGGAGGTCGGCGGCGCGGTGGACTGTTGTGATCTGTGTGCCCAGTACTGGCCGCAGTGCCTGTCCTGGCAGTTCATTCAAGAGGGCAATGCAGCTGCTGGCTATGCGGGTATGGCTTTCTACTGCTGCTTGAAGGGCAGCTTTCGCCCTGACCCTGTGGACGCCGCATATTGCTCATCCGGCTACTTCAATCCCAGTTGCACCTTGACAGCCGCATGTAGCTTTGAGATGACTGGCACTGGCTTCAATGAGAATTCCAGTGTCGTGGCTCTAGATGCATCCTCGAATGCCTGTGGCAGCGGAACTGCGGCAGAAGCGTGGCCAGGCGTCACAAACCCTCAGGTTGCCACCAGTGCAGTAGATCCGACTGCAGTGTTCGACCTTGGTACTGCATCCGGCGGATCTCCTGGTGATTTCAAGCTGTGTTACTCCTCAGCAGATTCAGAAGACCCTACAGACTATACGACCGAGGTCGGCAACTTCACCATGAAAGGGCCTACAAGTGGCCAAAGCTTCACATGCACCCTGGGAGCCGACTGCACGCTCGTGCTGGCCGGCCACAGCCAGTCTGCAACCGGCGCAGCCTACAAGGTCCTGGTGATCGAAGGTTCAACTTGTGGTGCTGGAGCAGTAGCTGCAACATTCACTGGTACATTCGAGAACCCTCGCATTGTGTGGGATAACGAGGATGACAATTATTACGAGATGAAAATTGCCAGGACTGGGGACACGACAGCAAGCTACTCTTTGTGCTGGGCTTCCAGTCCTGCGACTGTTGACGACTACGTCTTTCTGGTAGGCAGCTTTGTCATGACAGGGCCAACGTTTGGAATGACACATGTTTGTACCATGGGCAAGGCGTGTGCGGTGAGTCTGCAGGGACAAGGCCTTGCCCAAACCAACGCGGTCCTGGCTTCCGTCGGAACGTACGATGCCACCTTTGGCAGCATTTGCAGGGCTCTTGATGACTCGCTGGTAGCATCTTTCGGAGCAAGTTTCGTGCATCCAGTGAAGGCTGATCAGAGCTCACCCTTTGCGGACTATGCTTTTGGCACTCCGCTCAGTGCCCACAATAACCAGCCCGGAAGCGGATATCGACTTTGCTGGGCCCGTGCTCCAACCCAGACACCGCCTGCCAAGACAAACGGAGACTATTTGATCGATGCCGGTCTGTTCACTTTGCACGGGCCGGTTCAGAGCAATCACAACTGCGTGCTGACCTCGTCCTGTTCGATTACCCTTACTGGTTCTGGATTCGACTTGGGCGCTCATGGCCTACTTATCCTGGAAAGTGGTGCATCCTGCACCGACAGCAGTGCTTTGCTTGCAAATGCCTCGCAGCAGACATGGGCAAACCCAGCTGCAGCTGCCACAGATACTTTCTCGTTTGGCATTGCCGCAGAAGGGATACCCAGCACAAGCTACGTTCTTTGCTGGGCTTTTCAGCCGGCCATTCAGGCAGACTACAATGTTTACGTTGGCACTTTCCAGCTGGGAGGGCCTGACCTTCTGTCTGGATCCGTATGCATTAAGGGTGAAGAATGCATCCTTACTCTGACGGGTGTAGCTTTTGCAAGCACGAACAAACTGCTCGTCATCGCACCTGGTAGCACCTGCGGCTCCGGTGCAGTTCCGGCCACATTCAGCCCCATGGAGGTCGAGAAATTGGTTCAAGACGGAACCTTCACCGAGTACAGGCTGGGACGACCGAACACAGGAACTGCCCAAGCTGGCTACACATTATGCTGGTCAGATAGTCCGAGTGTTACATCCGACTTCATGTTCACCCTCGGAGACTTTACAGTGACAGGTCCCAACGTGCAAGACGTAGCCTGCACTTTTGGATTGTCATGCGTTATTTCGCTCATTGGCTTGGACCTGGCAAGCACCAACAAGATCATAGTACTGTCTGCCGGAAACTGTGGTGACAATGGCCCGACTCTAGCATCCATTACAGGAATGCTTTCGACAATCGCTGTCGAATCACAGTCGCCCTATGTCAGTTATGACTTGAACACACCCTTGTCTGGTCAGCCACGTACAGACTATACCCTTTGCTGGTCGCATTCACCTGGGGATGGCGCCGCGTCCTTATACAAGGCGCCGATTGGCTACTTGACAGTAAATGGACCAGCGCAGGTGGCACAGCACTGCATATTGGGCACGGACTGTGACATCACTTTGGCTGGTGTCGGCTTAGCCGCTACAAACCAAGTCCTCATCATTGATGCCGACAGCTCGTGCGGGGATTCTAGCCCAACGGTGGCGGCTTTCGACGGCTTGACGAACCCGGCAAGTCCTGAGACAGGCAACCCGGCCCTGTACAAGCTCGGCATTGCACGGACTACGTCGGATGGGCCAGGTAGTGGCTACACGATTTGCTGGGGTAGCAACCCGAGCAGCAATGAGAATTTCAACATCCAGCTTGGGACGTTCTCGATTGATGGGCCTGATCGCGAGACCTCTCTGCTCTACTGCACTTTGGGCTGGTCATGTTCTATTCAGGTAACCGGAGTAAACCTGGCAGCTACAAACAAGATCACCGTTACCACATTGAGCGATGTTTGTGGCCAGGCCAACTTGAATCTGGTGTACTTCGATGATGCGGTGAATCCAGTCAATGCATCCGGCAATGACTTTGACACCTTTGACCTCGGTGTTCCGACGGGAGGGTATCCTGGTGATTACAAGGTATGCTGGGGTTATGCTCCAACGCAAGAATCTGACTACCACGTGCCTGTCGCCACTTTGCGCATGGGCGGACCCGTCCCGCAGGATAATGAGTGCACTCTAAGTGAGCCGTGCAAGATCACAGTGGCAGGTGTCCGCCTAGGACATGCGAGCAGGCTGCTGTTCATCTCGCAGAATAGTAGGTGTGGTGATACATCGCCCACAGTCATCACTTGGTCAGGTATCAACAACCCGGCTTCAACTGACCTTATGGTGCCGCCTGCAAACCCGGGTTATGTGTACAGTGATGGTGATCGCTACGATGGTGGTCTTGGATTCTCAGGAGAGCCAGGCTTGTATAGGATCTGCTGGGGATTTGACCCCTTCAATGGCTACCCAGACTATAAAGTCACTCTTGGAAACTTTGTCATGAATGGTCCTGTGCAGGGCATGGACATTGCTTGTACCCTCGGCAAGACCTGCGTCGTTGAGCCGACCGGCGTGGGGCTGAATGCAACAAACCAGATTGAAGTCGTCTCCAATGCTGGACTTTGTGGGTCCACCGAGGCAGTTGTTGCCACTATTCCTGGACTCTCCAGTCCAGCTTATGTCACAGATGGATCATATGCGTTGGGCTCCGCAGTCCAAGGTGGGAGCTACGCGCTGTGCCGTGTGCCCACTCCAGCCGAGAGCTGCATCGGAACGCACTACCGCATATGCTGGGCCCACGGCGTGCATGCTGGTGGCGCGAACTTTGTTGTCGAGCTTGGGATATTCAGCTTGAGTGGTCCGTACGGCACTTATCGAGTTGACTGCAGTATGGGCTCGGTTTGTAGCTTTATACTTTATGGCTCTAGATTTACTCTCACCAACAGGATCCTTCTCATTGAGCAAAGTGGTTCCTGCGGCGACTCAACTCCTGTGGTCGCTTCCTTTGCTGGCCTCATGAACCCAGGGCTCTTCAGCAAGATTGCAGCTGATGGCTCCTCTGCGACAGTCCGACTGGGCCAATCGAGTGCAGGCAGACCTGATACTTATCGGATATGCTGGGGTGTGGATCCCGTGACTGCATCAGACTACAAGGTGGATGTGGGATTCTTTTACTTTCATGAAGTCCCCGATGGCTGTACCCCAGGTGTCTTTTCCTACACCTGCTCCTCACCTCGTTGAAGCTGGAGGCTGAAGCAGGCCAACTCGCTGCTTCGGCTTCGCCGAAACGGGGTCAGAATGTTGGACACACTGGGGAATCCTGCGTCCGTTTCACTATAGCAGGCCGCAGCCGTTAATGATCCGGACGAGTTCCGTCGTGCCAGCACGCATTCCTTTGCTTTCCTGTTCCTGGGTCATGAGGCAAGGCAGGACACTACGGCTCAGTTTCAGATGTTGATGGTTTGGCATGCTACAGATGCTACAGATGTGCTTTATAGAGAGAGGCGCGGGCTTTCCTGAACGGTCTCCTTCGCTGCTGTCTGGCTTAGAGCCCCCATGTCTTGGGTGCGGCATCGCAGACGGCACAGCCTGAACGAAGACAGGTCTGGCCGTGTTAGCGTCCGTGTTATTCTTTGTGGCAAGAGCAAGAGAAGAAGCTCTGGCAAAGCATGGCAGCCGCCAGCAGCATCACCGTAGTAGAATGTCGGAGGAAGGGGTTTCTAAGAGCAGCAGCGACGGCATGTCTGCTTCGTCCGTGGCAGCTGTTGCCCGTGGAGCCGCGGCGCGTGGCTCGCAGCTGGAAGCGGCAGCACTGTCGCGTGTGGTGCAGCCAAGGCTACTGGTTTAGGGGTGGCTACGCGGAGCTTGTGGGTTTGGTCTCAACAGGCCTTTCTAGGCGGCCTTCGTAGAGTTCGTCGGTTTCGGGTAACCATGGAATCATTGCAATTGGTAGTCTAGTTCTCTCCGCAATTTTCGTGCACGGGACAGGGAACAGAACGGGCTGGCACCAAGCACGGAAGGAAGAACCAAATGAGGGTTCGATAGGAACGCAAGCGGGGCTTGTATCCCTGACCAATGTGCTAAATTGGAGATCTGCACACAATTTTCAGTTGTCCTCTTCCATGACGCGACAGCGGTTGCGTTTTCTCCTTGCAGAAGGACATGAGTTTTTGATGAATTATTAATGACTTAGTGCATGTTTGGGTTTCGTTTTTACATAAATTTTCACTTCCGCTTCTTCCATCAAGCGAAAGCACAAGAAGCGCAAAGAAGCTCGGCCGTGCCGAGTATTCCTGCACTGGGCTTCAGGGCTCTTCGCAGCAGGCTGCAGCTTTCGGACATTGCAGGGTCGGTGGGATAGGCCCTGTTGCCGCTGCAGCCTTTAAAAAGGGTACGACGGCCGATGGATTGCATGTTATCTTCTTCCAACCTCACAAGGCGGCTGTTCTTCGATACCGCCCCAGGCTGGCACATGTCCAGTGGTTGAGGGTGGCGTCGTGCGGCCAACGTTTGTCCTTGTGCACCTTGGGTGTTTGAGTGCACAGCCAACAGTGTCGCCAGGCTTGGAGCCGATGCTACAGCGTGAGCTGCAGGTGGGCAGGCTGTGTCTAACGACCATGGTGACCCAAGTTTGCTGTACAAGATACGCCGGGCGGCAGGCTTTGGGCATACTCCGTGGCCGTGCAGAGCGTTATCATGGGGGGCTTTACATAGAGGTGGAGAGTGTGCATCGTTTTTGGGCAACGCTGGCTGCAGCTGCAGCTGCTTCTGCAAGGCCCCGGAGTCTTTGCTTTGGCGCGCAGCGCTGCAGAGCCGCCTGCTTCTAGGAGGACGGCTAGGTGCCTGTCCGGGAAGCGATTGCCTGGTGCAAACAATGAGTGCAGTCTGCACATTTGCTCTTCCTGGCCCTGTCCTGGTACCGTGCGTGTTATGGTTCGTCGGAAGATGACCCGAAGGTGTTGGGGAGCTTTTCCATGCCGGGTACGAGTCGACGCTGGCGAACTATGTGGTGGCCTAAGGCTTCTTACTCAACCGTTCCAGCCTTGATATTACAGCGATGCAGGTAGCCGGCGTCCCCTGGCCTGACTACATGTGGTTTGGAGCAGAGCCAGCAAAGCCGCCGCTGCCCGTAACAATTATTTCTCGATTACATCACAGCAGAACGGCGGGCACGAGCTGGACAAGAGAGATAAGCAGCAAATGATCTGGCAAGGCTCAAAGTCCACACGGAGAACTCGCGTCTGTACCACACTGATGTCATAGAACGTGCTGTTCTAAATGGCCTCTTGGCTCGGCAAGAGTGGAAAAGGGGGCTGTCCCCTTGCGAATGAGGGGCGCCAGTGTGTGAAGAATGTGCAGAGGCATCGAGCGACGCCGTCAGTTTTTCATGAACCTGCGCCTTCAGCGGAACGAGGACGAGATTTTCTACGGCAGACAGGACAAGGACAGAGGCGGAAGCGCTGTCGGCGCCAGGTGAGAGCAGAGAGCTGCTCTTTGTCGCTCGTCTCAAGGAGAGGCCAAGGCCAGATTTGCCGACGCTTCACGTGGACTTGAAGAGGCCAGTCAAGCTGCGTGCTGTGTGCTGTGTGCCGCGTTGTTTCCGCGCTTCAGGAACGAGTGCGACTTGAGCGTGGCGACTACTGCAGTACCTCAGCGACTTGGTGGATCCCCATGGAGAAGTCATCCATTTCGGGCATCGTGTTCCGGAGGTTACGTGCGTATTCCCTAGCAGTGGAGGAGAAGGACGAGCATCAGGAGGCTGGAAACTTCCGGGTGTGTATCTATGCTGAGCTTTGGCACTGGCAGGGCCGTGGAAGTGCATGGACATTGGGAGACTCTCACGCAGCTGCCTGCGTGCGATGCCCGGGGTGCGCACGCGATCAGTCGCGTTTCCTTGACTGCTGCAGTTTCACGAGCCCACACCGCCAGTGGTGTCGGCTGAGGTGTTGAAGTCCCAGTGTCTGGAGCTGCTCGAAGAGTGCGGCAAAGCGGAGCAGCTCGTTAGCATGTTGTCGTGATTTGCAGGTCATTGCAGGTGTTTTCAGGACAACACCAGGTCATATGTGCGCACGTGCCATCAGAACAAAGTCGAGCCCGAAAGGATCGTAAAAATTGTAGCCAACATTGACTCCAACTGGCTGCAAGCAGTCCTCGTGTTCAGCACCACCTCCAATCCCTACATTCGGAGCAGGGGGGAGGGGCAGCATATGTAGCCTGCCTGAATCTACGTGGACAGTCAGAGCTTGGAGTGCTTGCACGTGGTCTCGTTCGAACATTCTCGGTTTAGGAATGGGGCTTTCGTCCAATGGAACTCAGTTTGTGGTAACAGAGATCCACCGCGACAATGTGGGGTTAATGACGGTCAATGTGCGTGTCCACACAGGCAGTTCTCGGCGGTCCCTACAGATAGGTAGATAGATAGAAAGGCATGGTAGCACTGCACCCGCTGAGGCGTCACCTCTGTGTCTGGGATCCCTTCTGTGGACGCGGCAAACTGCTCCTCGAGGCTTTGGGCCTGGCCTTGGGTGTGCCTCCGGCAAGCCCGGCGGGGAGCTGAGCTGGGATCTGGGGTGCGTGCGCGAACCTGCCACAAGATTTTTCCAGTTCTTTCTGTCCCCCAAGGTCATGCAGATGCCATTTCAAGAGTTTCCTAACTTTGACCAAGCTCGTTTCCGGGAGGTGCATGACCTCAGATGCGAAGAAGTTCCAATGCTCTCGTTGAGGTTTAAAATCTAAGGGTCCGTGTATACTACTAAATGGAGGTGTTTTCCACACCTGTCTTGTTGATTGTCTATTCGTCAAGTCTGCAGTTTCGGAGCGAAGAAGGAGGACGAAGTAACCCGCTCCGGCTTACACCAATGCTGGTCTCTTTTACCTTGGGATTGATACCAAGACGGCAGGGGCTGGGAAGGGTTTCGCGTTGGACTTCTTGCCCAGGTGGTGCGATCGCTTGAATTGTCTCCTTCCCCGCACATCTCTAAGCTGGTGCTCGTCGGCAGCCACGCCGATGCTGATGTCATACATCTGGCAAACAGGAATCTGCAGGCCTCCGCTCCGGTGTCGGGGCTGTGGTGCTTGCATTCCTGCAGTTTGCCTTTGCGCAGCACCTGGAGGCTTTTGCTCGTGCCCTTCCTCGGCCACGGTCGGGGCCTGCATCGCTAATCTGGCCATTGCCCAGTGGCGACGTAGCTGAAAAAGAGGCTGGGTTGCGAAATGAGTCCGCTGACCGGCATCCGGTCTCGGCAATTTAATCTCTTCCGCGGCTCCGGTAATTGGCTCTACAGCGAGTGCAAGACGCCTGGTGCTGGCAGGATCCGATGAGCATCTCGAAACGGCGGCTACCATGCTCTGTGACATTCCAACACAAGGATCCTGAGTCGATGCTGGAGACCCTCCGTGGCCACCCCACCATGATTCTGACCAATGTGGCGTGTTTTTAACCAGGAAGGCTGTTGTTCGTTGATGCATTGCTCTACGGCTTTCTTTTAGAAACTTGTCGCGCCACTTGCTGTCTCTGATATCATATCGCGGTCCCTGTGCTCTTGAGGTTCCCTATGGAAACAAGGCTGATGCTAAGAAAGACCGGCGTTTGTATGCCCGCTTCGGCAAGATGCTAAAGGCGGAGCAGGCGCACGGCTATCTGAAAGGCATTTATTGCCTTTCTGCTCGCGAGGACACGGCCGACACGTACAAAATCTGAAGGAACAATCGTTTCTTCTTCGGAGCGTGCTTAGTAAGAAGCTATGGCAGATGTTTTTGGCCCCGCCAGCTCCTTCTGTAGGACTTCAAGCGATTCTCTGGGCTAGACTGGCGAACAGAGCTGCGCTTTGAATGCAGTGGTGCCGGGGGCCTCGGCACTCGCAGCGGCAACGTAGGGCCGGGGTTCGCCCGTGCGCCCGAGGTTCAAGTGGAGCTGCTGCGGTGGACCGGCCGCACGGCCTCGATCCCGCGCGTGGAGAGGGAGAAGGGCCCAAAGCAGGTGCCAACGGAAACACACGAGGCGGGATGCCGCATCGCTCAACAATCCATGGCTACCTGATTCTATAACGTTTGCAAACAGTGAGTGCATCACGAGCAGCGTTGTTGAGGAGGTCTCGACAGCAAATCCTGCATCCTCTACTACTGCACTTGGCCGAAAGTCGAAGAGGAGGTTGGCAGCAGTGTTGACGTTTCAGCACTCAGAGCCACATTTGATGTGCCAGGATGGCGGCTTCAACTTCGCATGGCGCAGTGGCAATGCCACCTGCGAAGGCAAAAGGCTGCGAACTCTTCCAGAGGTCGGCCAGTGATTTGCTGCCTGCAGGCGAAGAGAACACGAGATGAGCATCAAAAAGAGAATCGTTACGCCCACGATTTGCATGTGGTCTGCTTGCGGGCATGTTCTGGCCACAGTGCAGTGTTCTGGTCTTCATGGATCTCGATCCGGCGCCGTTCGACCGCAGGAGATGCTCCGAGCAGAGAGCCTGCCAGCCCTGCGAGGCAAGTACAAGCAGCGTAGCTGCAAGATTTGAACTTTGCAGTCTGCAGCATGGACGGCACGATGTTGAAAGCTTGCTACATCTCGCTACTATACTACTACGAACTAGTGTCGCTTCAGAGCCGCTACCTGAGGCACGACAATCCTTTCCTGGGAACAGGCCAAGCCCTTGGCTTCAAGTTCCACACTTCGATAGCTCGGTCGTATGAAGAACCCCAAATGACAATGGCATGTGCGATTCCGCGTCATTCAGCAAACCGACCACGAACACTTGTTGCCTCAGCTACTTCGCGACTACTGCGCGGGGTCCTCACAGCTAGCAAGTGGTCATCCACCAAGTTAGCCACCTCCCCAGAATTTAAATTGTTTAACAAAATATAAATTGGGGCCGGGAATTAAATAAATTACATAAATTGAATCCTGGGGAGGGGTCCGAAACGGGAATTAAATAATTACATAATGTAAATCCCTGGGGAGGGGGTCCGGGGGGGTCCGCGGGCATTTAAATTTTTCAAAAGAATTCAATTCGATTAATTTACCAGTTTAAACCTGCATTATGTGGAGTCGTGCGCGACACTGCCAAGCGGGAGCCAACAAAATTCGATAATTGGGGCGGGGAATACAATAATTTCACGAATTCAAATCTTGGGGAGGGGGTTCGCGGGGTCCGGGAGGTCCGGGGGTATTTAAATTAACTAAATTACAAAATTTACATAATTTAAATCCTGTGGAGGGGGTCCGGGGGTGTTTAAATTATTTAAATTCCTGTAATTATTTAAGCTATGTAGTTGGGGCCGGGAATTACAAGATTTACACAATCTGAGTAATTTAAATCCTGGGGAGGGGGTTCCGGAGGATCTGCGGGCATTTAAATTATTTAATTGGGGTCGGGAATCAACTAACGTAAATAATTACATAATTTGGGGAGGGGGTCCGGGCCGGGAATTAAATAGTGTAAATAACACAAATCCGGGAGAGGGGGTCCAGGGGGTCCGGGAACATTAATGTTTTTAATCTAGTTTATCTAAATGATTTACATTAATCCTGGGGAAGGGGTCCGCAGGTGTCCGGGGGCATGTATATTCTTTTGATTATTTAAAGTATTTAATTAGGGCCGGAACTAAATAATATATATTTTAAGGTCATTTAAATCTTGGGGAGGGGGTTCGGCAAAAACGGGGGCATTAATATTATTAAGTAAAATTAGTACATTATTTAATTGGGGCAGTAAATTAACTAATGTAAATAGTTTAAATCCTGGAAGGCGTTCGGGGGGTCCGGGAGCACTTAAATTGTTTGATTTGTTTTAGATTATATAATTGGGTCAAGGATGTATATATTTTAAATCATTTAAATATTTTAAATCCTGGCGAGGGGGTCCGGCGGGGTCCGGGCAGGTCCGGGGGCATTTAAATCACTTAAACTATTGAATTTAAAATCCATAGTAGTAGATATATGTCTTTACTTCTTTGATTGGCCCATTTTTCAGCCGAACTTTTGCAAACAGATTGTTGATTGCAAGTGGTCTTCAGTCTGTGTGTATTCCCTTGTCTTGCTGCAGGCCTGGCAGCCCAGAGTGTGGTTGTTGAGGTCGGTTCTTGTCCTGTTGGGTGGGCTCGACGAATGACAGAGGTTCTGCATTCGCGCTCTGCCTCCTAATATGCTAACCTGCCCTTGCATAGGCGAGACCCTTGAGGATGGCACGAGAGATCTGTCCGTCTGTCTGCCCCCGTCTGCCTGTCTGCCCGTCTGCCTCTGTGGCTGCCTGTCTGTCTGCCTGTCTGGCTGCCTGTCTGGCTGCCTGTCTGTCTGTCTTTGTGCATGAAAGATGCAGGTCATGTGTGTGCATGCAGGTATGTGCATTCGTGAGGGTTTTGCCTGGTTTGCCGTTTTGGCAGGCAGTGCCTATCGACGTGCTCCTGCTGGCGGGTTTGTCTGCGACGTGTCTGTTGCCGAGAAGCCGTGAATGAATTCGGGTTGTGATGTTCCTCTAAGAGGCTCTTCACCGAATTCGTCATGCAGGGACCTCCGATGTTGTGTACGTGTAGTACAGTCGTGAGCTTCCAAGAAGCAGTTGAAAGCCGCTCGAGTGTACCAGTGTGCATCGTATGCCGCCGATTGATTGGCCACAGTCCATCTTGCCGTGTGTACTGTAGCCTGCAAGCACAGCGCTTGGTGCCAACGCAGCCGTTTCACTCAACGGATGCCCTGTTGAAAGCATCCTCTGCTGGTAGCACAGAGTCAGGCATTGCACCGTTTGTGCATGCCTTTGAAAGGCCGGTAGGACTTCTTGTAGTCGTTTCCTGAAACAGACATGAAAGACCTCTGCATTCCGGCATGTTCCAGACTTCCCATGACAGGCCATGGTGCTGAGTGCCAGTGACGTCGAGCAAATCAAGAAGGAACCTTTCTCAGCTCGGCTGGAGATCGTACTTGCTGATTCGCTGGTGCTACAACTGCCACGAGTGCTTGCTGATGCTCTGGTTTGTGTCAGTGAAGCAGGAGTTCGGAAACATTCACCGGCAAGGCACGAACTAGTTCGTTCTATCTGTAACGCTTGCTATGTTGAACAATGAGGTAGCCAGTGTGCATGAGTTGTGTCACACTTTGAAGATCAGGCACGCAGACGGTTGGAGTGAATGCGGTCGCAAAGGCCACGCCCTGAACATGCTGAACAATTGAGAGCACATGATACCTTTGCGCCCATGCTTCGGTCAATGTGCTTGCGTTGAGAAGCCATTGGCGTTTCAGCTGTGAGGTTCTACAGGAGTTAGACGAGTGGTCCGCAGGAGAACTGCATCAGCTGTGTGGGCCCTGCCTGCCTCTAGTTACTCCAGTTCCTGTCGCAAGATAGAAGCTTGCAGGTTCGTGTCAGGAGTGCGACCTAACCTGCAGCCATTTGACAGCAGAGCCTTGGTGCACACATCATGCGAGTTGGCGAATTGCCTGAACTCAACGACCATGTACCATACCCTTGCGACATGCGCAAGGCCTGGTAAGCAGGTGAAGAAGTCAACCTTCATATGAGTGTGCTACAAGGCGCACAGGGTCACCCCCTCCGAGGCTCGCAGCATTGCCAAGAAGCACGTGCAGTCCACACATGTCCACCCAAATGTGATCCAGCACCCATGGAAGCTACCCAAAAAAATTGCAGCGGCTGCGACTGCATCTTGAACCCGAGCAAGTGGGCCCAGGTCCCCTGCCTGCCCCCTTTTGTTCTGTGAATCCATCTCTCTCTCTCTCTCTCTCTCTCTCTCTCTCTCTCTGTCTCTCTGCCTCTCTTCCTCTTTCCTTGGGGAAGTTGTGAGTTTCGAGGTTTGTTTCGGTGCTAAGTTTCGGGGTGGAGTTTCGGAACAAGGTCCGGGACAGTTTCGGATCAGGGCATGTTCAGCTTCCATTTCATGCCGCGAGTTTTAGCCCAGGGCCTGCAATCGCCCCCCGAAGCTGCCAAACCCGCGTCCCGAAACTGATTCCCACTGCGCCGAAACTGGGCGCCGAAACTATCCTTCCGTGATCCGAAACCCCCGGCAGCCGATCCGAAACTTGAACCCCGAAGCTATGGGCACACCTCTTTCCTTGCCTGCGTCTGTTTTCCAGACATGCATGCATCAATGCGTAGACGGTCGCACATCTACTGGGTGGGAGTAGGCTGAAGGCCAAAGATAGTTTGCACCCTGTTCTTGGCTGTTGAACTTGTCTGAAGATTGTGGTGCCTGGCTGCCTCCATGCCTATCACTTGAACCTCGGCTGACACAAAGTGGCAGCTTGTGAGAGCTGATGAATTTAATTCCTGAAATCTGTGCGCTCTACTGGCAAAAACACATCTTTCAGCAGGCCGTTGCCTCTGGCTAGATGGATGCCTGCTGTGGGGCTTCGGCCACAGTATTTTGGCCAAGGAGCTGTGCCCTTCATGCAAGTCAACCTCGCAAGCTTTGCGCGGAAGCGCCCAGTGAAGCTTCACCACCAAAAGAGTGCGAGTTCTGCACCGGGCTCCTTAGCAGAATGTGCCTCTGAGTCTCTGCGTGCATCATAGCTTAGGGATACCATGTGTCATATGCTTGGAGCAGGTTTCTCTCCTCACAGACAGATGGCGTGCGCTTGCTGTACAACGACTGCAGCGAGGAGATTCATCGCCGAGACCCTTCAGATGTTGAGCAGCTTGGATGAATCTTGGTCATCAGTCCTTTGCAGTTGCATTTCTGAATGGCTTGTTGCATGTGACTTCGGTTGAAATCCGCCGACACAAGGTTTGTGCGTACCTTTGAGATAAAGCACGGGCGGGAGATGCTCCCTCTGCACGAAATACCGGCCAGCATCTTTCAGATGCAAGGTGTCACCCGAGGGTTCATGTGGCAGAGGTGCCCAAGACGGCTCGTTGGCTCGATTTGACATGACATGTCCCGTTCAGGCCTGCGCTGCTTAGACTTCACTGGGCATCCCCTTCTCCGAGTTCCTCCGGAGATCAAGCTCTTGAAAGCCTTAACAAGGCCGGCAGAGTTGGGACTGGCATCTCCATGCCGTAGGTAGGCTCCATGTTCTGAACATTGCACTCTGGGTGGCCTTGGCCGTTCTTGCTCCGCAAACTCGGCGCTGCAGCGCCTCCAGAGCCCTTCTTAGCTTCAACAGCCCTTTCGGGAACTCAGCTGAGATGCTGTATCTTATTCCTCTCGTACTGCCCATGGCCCTCGCAGACGTCGACTGCGAGCACTGTGAGGTGAAGAGTGCCAGCATGATCCAACGTCACATGCAGAAGCATGGCGAGGACTTGAAGGCACAATCTTGCATCGCTTCGACGACGGGCACCTGCGACACATCCGCGAAAGGCTTCGACGCTGAGATCCTGCTGGGTCGCATCCACCAGGAGCCTGGTAGTGGTGCCAAACTTGCACTGCTGCGCAAGTATGGCCGAGAGCTTGCGTCCTATGTGGGCGAGAGTCGTAACCACACGGAGATCATGAAGAACGAAACGATTGACCTGCACGCCTTGATCAGCGACCTCATCCAAAAGCTCTTCGGCAAGTTGACAGAATCCCAGGCATCCATCAATGCGTGCGTGGATTCCTTTGCGAGCTGTGCCGATGACCTGAAGCTGGACCAGGCGACGCTGAGGGGGTTCTCTTTGTCATTGTCTTTGTCTTATTTGGCTTCCAGCTCCGCACACACACACACACACACGCGCAACACACACAGAGCCAGATGCTCCTGAAGTCTCGCCATGGATCCTGACTCATGTCAATGGCAGAAAGCTGCCCGTGAAGTGGAGGCCAGCAGAAGACATGCTCAGGGAGGCTTTCCGATGTCTTCTATAGTGCAAGAGGCTATCGGGATGCCTGCGCCAAAGCACGCTGTGAGGCAAAGTCAGAGGATTCGGCAGGTGTTTTCGATTGGGCGCCTGCGGGCTCTCTCGAATACAGCATCACGAATTAATGAGGTCGGTCTGGCCCACTTGTTGGACGCACCCAAAAAGCAGAGTGCCTGCTTGAAAGGCAAGCAGCATCTCAAATCCTGAGACCAGCCGCCGAGTTTACGATTAGTGGTCAATGCCCAGTCTGCTGCCATGGCTAACAGTTTGCGGCTCCGCTCTGAGACAAACTCATCGAGGCGAACACGGAGGGCATCCGACTGAAAGGCCTCGTCGATGCCAAGGCGCGCAGCTCTCAGTCCTTCGGGCCTAGAATTCTTTTAGGGCTCACTGGCCGAACCCTCGGAAGGTCTCGCAGTACATCTCCCACCTGAGCACCGTCGTCACGGCTGTGAATGACGCGCCTCGGATAGGGCGAGGGAGAGCTTTCTTTGCTCTCCAGGATGATGTAGGACTCTCTAGGAGAGTGAATTCCGTAACGGGAACAAGTTGTCCGTGACGGGAACCCATAACGGGAACGGGCAGGGATTCCGTAACAGCAGCCCCGAGTTTCTGTAGCAGCACCGGCCTGCCCCTTGTAACAGGAACCACCGGGGAGCTCCCACACTGACTCTTGTCGCCTCCGACTCTTGTTGGCTTACAAAAGCTTTCCGGTCCCCCTCTTTGACGTCTTCAACATGCCATGTCATATAGCACTGCAGGAACCTTGTTCCCGAATTTCCGATGCCTACAGCTGAACAACTCTACAAGTGTGGAAAGGCCTGCTGGAATCATAGGTCGCCTTGTAGCTTCGGCGGTCCTAGTTGCTGCCATTGCCGCCGGCGCTTGCAACTGGCGCGACGTCTCTTCTCAGGACAGCATCCACGGGACATCTGCTGGATCTTTAAAGCAACTTTAGCAGTGTTGAACGCATCTGGATCCTGAACCCACAACGCCAACAAAGAGATTCTGACGACTCGAAACAGCGCGACGGGCCACGCATTTCTTCTGACTTGTCAGCAGCCATCCCAAGCCGAAGGTGCCGTGGCCCATCGCTTTGGGAGTGCATTGTCTGTGGGAGGCGCCAAGAACGAGGCACGCCGGCATGGTGTAAAGCGATCGCTTAATCACAACATCAAAGTCTTCAGGCTTGTTTGTGCTTTGGCATTTGTTGGCTTAGGGCCTTGGGGCTCCAGGGCTTCAGATTCACCCGGGAAACGGGAGATTTTGCCTTCTTGGTCTTGGATCCGCATTCCTAAGCTAAGCAAGTGACATTCAGCTGGCAGCTTTCTTCGGTCTAGTTTCAACCCATTGTGCCACATCAGCATCAGGACAGGAGTTCAGGGGTGCAGCATGACCCGAAAGAGAGAGCACCTGAAGACTTTGATGTTGTGATTAAGCGATCGCTTTACGGCATGCCGACGTGCCTCGTTCTCGGTGCCTCCTGCAGACAATGCACGCGATGGGCCATGGCACCTTCGGCTTGGCATGGCTGCTGACTAGTCAGAAGAAATGCGTGGCCCGTCGCGCTGTTTCGAGTCGTCAGAATCTCCTTGTTGGCTTTGTGGGCTCAGATGCGTTCAACACTGCTAAAGTTGCTTTAAAGATCCAGCAGATGTCCCGTG